CGACACCGCAGCCCTGCCGGCCCGGCCGAGCCCTGGGCCGCAGGGCCGCAGAGCCGCAGCCAGGCGAAGCGATCCATAAGGAGGTCGCGAAGGAAGCCGCAGCGAGTCCATAAACTGGGCTTCGAGGCGGAGCACGGCGAGGCGGCGAGGCCGAGGCAGGCGGCGGCCAACAACACGGCCGCGAACAGAGGCTTCGCCGCCGTCTCCCCCTCCGCCCATATCCCCGAATTTCCATAGTCCTACTGCGTACTGCGCTGGCCCACCGCGAGAGCAGCGCGATGAGTGGCGTACATAGTGGCGTAGAAGACGAAGACTCTCCTGCCGCTTGGTGGACCTCCTGGCCGGGCAGGCGGCCGTCGTGAGGCCCGGCGAATCAACAATCAGGACAGGGGCTCCCCGGTCGTGCCACGCCGTGCCACGCCACTGTCAGTCCATCACACACGACCGCACCGCCGCCATGGCGCGCCATGGCGGACCGGCGAGCAGACGACGCGATGCACGGGGCGAGGCGAGGCGGGCCGCCCTCCTATTCAAACTGCAATCAGCGGAAATGGCGAGAAAGCAGCGGGGCGCATGCAGCGTGCAGCGTGCCACAGCGAGCGGCCGAACGGCGAGGGAGGAACAAAAAGACAACAAAAACACGGCGAAAATGACGCGCCGGGAAGAAGGAGGAGAAGAAGAAGACGACAACGGGCCCACCCCCGTCCCCGTCCGCGATACGCACCGCCGGCACCGCGCCATCGCACCGACAGCGGAACCCGGCCGCCAGACTGCGCGGAACGGGACGGGACGTCCCTCTTGCAAAATAGACAACAGCCAGCGGGATGGCCCGGGGCCGCCAAGCAGGCCGCCTAGCAGGCCGCCTAGCAGGCCGCCTAGCAGGCCGCCCCGCGCCCTCGCCCTCGCCGCGCCATGCACCTGTCTGGCCAGCAACGATCGGTAACACCACGCCGCCGGCTCGGATGGCTCGGATGGTGGCGGCTACGCGCTGAGCGCCCCGTCAGCACTCGCCTCGCCCCGCGCGAGAGGCACCGCGACAAACCCGCCTCGCCGTTACACTTTCCCAACGGCGGCGAGCAAGAAGTAAACCAAAGAAACGCCGTCCGAATCCGAGCGGCGGGCTTTGGGCCGCGTACGCGGTGCGACGCGCAGGTGTGCCCGACGGACGGCGGACAGACGGACGCCCGCGGAGCGCGCAGCGAGCAACATGACCGGAATACTCGGCTTTTAATTGCATTTCTTGCCGACCGACCGCAAGCTCACAGTGCAGGCGCAGCGGCGGCGCAGCGGTCCCTTCCTGTTTTCCTGTTTCCATAAAGGACGACGGCGCGGCCCCGAAATGGCGTGCGATCATGTGTGGCCTGGCCTTTAGTGGTAATGGCAATCAAGGTAGGCCAGCCCGTCGCGCATGCCGGCCGGCGGGCTGCCTACGCGCACGGCGCCATGCCGCTCCCCGCCGATTCCAAAGGATCGGATCGCCGCTGCGTCTGGGGACGCACCGCGCGTGCGACAGAGACAGAGCGACCGGAGGAAGAAGGCAGAGGAAGGGAGCAGGGCGGGAAGCGCGGCTAAAAACGGACTCGGCCAATCTGGCGCGGCGGGGCGGGGCGAGCGGGAGACGACAACAACCAAAAGACCGAAGACGCGCAGCGCAGCGCACGGCAGCAACCTTGCTCCACTTACACTGCGCCGTCGCCGTGGTCGCCGTGGCCGGCCGGCCGTTCGGCGGTCAGCGTCGCCGTCGGGGCGTTCTGCTTGGACAGGCGGCGGTGCCGACGGCCGACGGACCGCGGCCAGCGGCGGCAAGCTGAAGGCAAACTGAAGGCCGGACGTCAGATCCGCGGCGATAACGCATGCAAACGCGATAAGCCACCACACTGCTGACAGGGGCTCGGGCCGGCGTGTGTGTGTGTGTGCGTGAAGCGGGGTGGCGGTGGGTAGCCACGAAAGCGGAAGGGCTTCCCCTTCCCCCGCGCGGGCCGGTTGCCCTTTCTCCGTCGCCACTCGAAAAATCTTTAGTTTACTGGACAGGCTGAAGGGCGAGCAACAACCAGGCGCACCCAGCCCAGGGGCCCAGAGCAAGCTCGAGCAAGCGCCAAGGGCCCGCCCAAGGCTCCCCCAAGTGCTCCCGCGCCCCTCCCCCGGCAAACAGCACAGCAACCACCGCGATGTCAGAAGGGCGGGGGGCGCCCTCAACTTGCGCAGTTGCGGTGTGGCGGTCGGGCAGGATATGCCGGGGGGAGGGGTCGGGCCTGGCAACAGCGCGGGGCGCTTTTGGTCACCTCGTGGAACCTCGAACCTTCAACCCCCGAGCGCCGCCGCGTTCGAGAACAGTGGAACGGAGCCCCGGGGCGTAGCTGGGGATAATCCTGGACTGCGGCTTCAAGCGTCAGGAAAGCGTCACTGAGCGAGGCAGGGCGTGGTGGCGGGGCGTGGCGGGGCGTGGCGGGGCGTGGCGTGGCGGGGCGGGGCGTGGCGGGGCGTGGCGGGGCGTGGCGTGGCAGGCCGCGAGCACAACAAGGGCTTTCAGCTTTCAGGGATGAGGCTTCCAGAGGTGTCCATTACCGCCGCCGCAACGTCGCACCTTGCCTCGCCCTCCAGGGCCTCCAGGGCCTCCAGGGCCTCGAAGCGGCGTCTTGCTCGCGTCACAGCCCCCCTTCCCCCCTCCCTCCCCCGCGCGGTTCAGACACCGCGCGGCAACTCTGTGGCGAAAACTGACACGAAACTGACTTTTCAGACAACTTGAAGAGCAAACTACAAAATGGTCGGGTACAACCAAAGGCTGCCGCCGTGCCCCGCCCGCGGGGATGCTTGATCCGTCGGGGGTGCGCGGCGAGGCGGCGAGGAACAGCGGCACGGCGCAGGGCCGACAACTTTCCGAGCCGCCTCCGTTAGTTTGGCGGTGCGGCGTCGTCGACGCGTCCTCGTTCCGTTCGCCCTGGTCGACGATGACGACGACGACGACGACGGCATGCCGTAGTGCAGCGCACGCCGCGCGGATTTCAGCGCCAGCACTCGCTGTTGTCCCAGCCCGCCCCGCCCCGCCACGTCTCCCCCTCCTCCCTGTAGAGCTCATTAGCCCTTTACATCATACCGTGGTACCGGTACAACGTAAGATAGAATGCCGTCTGCAGCCGTCTATTTTGCGTTTGGCCAAGTTCCGTCAGCCTAAAATTGCTCTCAAGGGAACATCAGCCGTTTTGAACCACCCACTCAACCTCCCTCTAGCGTATGGTGCTACCAAAAAAGGCGCGAAAACACACAAGGCGCGTCAGGTGCTACACTTTTTCGCAATCTAACCTTTACGTGTCTATAAAACGACCGAAGAGTGAAAAAATTGTCTTCAAATCGTTTAGAAAGGTTGGTCCTATGACAGGTAATGCATATCTCTTGGGTCGGTTGCGTGTCAGAGGCCTGAGGCTCAGCTTTAGATGAATGTTGTTTATAAACAACAAAAGTACTTCAGGGTTACCGATTCTTACCAAATTTTGAGACCGGTTTATGTGGCTCGTAATTGATGTTTACCGCCATAATCGGCGAGTTTTGTGTATAAACAGTTGTTTGAGCTCAAAATTCGTCTCGAGGACGACATGGCGACGGACGATGATGAATCCGACGGAAGTCACGATGTTGTACATGTACAACGTCCATTTGATTTCATCAAGACACCTTTCTGACGAGTGGAAGTGAGATTTTCTGTCATTTGTGTGCACCACTGTACCAGGTGTTTCAAAATCGCCATAGAAGTTTGAAGGTATGCAACCCGCTCGCCGTCGTGTGGGTGGGCTTGCCTAACGCGCTATAGTGCATGACGGAACAACGGAAAAGTCACGACGTTGTACCAGTACAACGAACACTTTTCTCAGCCTCGCAGATCATATCTTTGAACAATTTTAGCTCAGAAATGCTTAAAAGTCTTTCCTTACGGTGTTGTGCAAGTATTTAGAAATTTGTTTGAAGTTTTAGGTGCATAGTTTGTCATTTAGAGCGTTGCCCGTGTTTATGCTACCCTCAGGTCACGACGTTGTACCTGTACAACGTTCACCATTTTTCGCCATAAAGATCACACCTTCGAGAAATTTTTGTGTTAGGTACATACAGAGTACTTCTTTTACTTAGGTCACCACACTACACCCCTAATTTGGTTGGATTTCTGAGCCAATTAGATCGTGTACAGCCCTGCGGAAAAATGGTCATTTTTTTGACCAATTTTCGAGTTGTTTTAGGGGATACCTAGTATAAACCGATCTCATGCGACGTAACGTTTGTTATACATGTGTTTTGTACACCAAATAACGTTGAACCCGTGGGGCGAGAGGGGCGGGAAAAAAAGAACTTAAATAAGTGCTGGGTAACCCTCAAGTCATTTTGTGGTACTCATACAACATACCCCAGCGTGCGAAGCAGGCACCCCCAAACTTAAATTTAAACGAAAATGCACTCAATTGGGTGCCAAATAGTCAAAATAAACCACATACACCAATTTTATGAAAGGTTTCAGTGTCTGTGACTTAAAGGGTTAGTCATAAGAGTGGCGACGAGAAATGAAACCCCAAAGCGCGGTTCCCCGCCGCCACGGCCGCCACCCAGACACTCCACCCCCGCTCGCGTGCCAGTCCGTCCCCGTCCCGCAGCCCCCCGCCGCGTCAACGTCGACGCGGTCCTCTCGCCGCGGTGGGCGGGGCGGAGCGGCGCGGCGGCCGAAGTTTGGAGGAAAAGGGAGCGATTTGGCGACTCGGCCGCAAGTCCCCCTCCCCTCCCACCCTCCCCCCTCTCCAACCCCGCGTGTACCGTGGCGCCTCCGCAGACCAGACGCCAACTTTTCACCGACAAGGAACTTTCCGCGGGGCGGGGGAAGGGGGGGGGGGCGGCAGGGGCAAACAGGAGAAGTGCGAGTTGCAGGCGTTGCAGGTTACGTTCGCAGCGCGGTGCGGACGGTCGCGTGGCCGCCATAGGTGACGCGCGTCATCGGCACAGTCCGACACAGTCACTAAACTCACCACTCGGCTGGAGCGCGACTGGAGCGCGGCTGCGGATGCGGCTGGAGCCGGCACAGAGGGCCGCGCGGCACAGTCCCTGCAAACAAAGAGCCACGTTCAAAGTTCCGCGAGTTTCAACCCTCGGCGAGTCCGCCCACTTTCGACTTCCAAATTGGAGATGCATCTGGACGGCACAACAGGGAGCGCGGGGGGGAAGGGGGAGGCCAAGCAACGGCACAAACATAGTGGTGAACGCCGCGGCAAAAAGTCCAGGGCTCCACTTTATAAAGGCCACCAACTCTCGGCCATCTAATATCGCTTCTCGCCAAATTTATTATCGAAGTGTTGAAACTTCTTCGCCGCCGCGCGCCGAGTCCGCCGGGCTTCCGCTGAATATGTGTGCGCCGAAAGTTGGCCAAAGTTTGCAACAGTAAAAACTTGGGGGCGCGCGGCGGGAGGCGGTCGGACCGCGGGGCCCCGCGGGGCTGCGCGGGGCTGTGCGGACAGCGGTGGGGAGCAGCCCTCTGTGTATTGATTCAGCGGCCAACTAGGGCCCCGCCGCTCCGCCCCGCCCCGCCCCGCCCGGGGCCGCGCCCTCCCCGCCCCGCCGGCCGGCCTGCAGCTGTGCCAATTGCCCCGTCGTGCACATATGGCCGGAAAAATGAGCCAACGCCACTGCACTGCGTTACGCAACCAGAGCCAGAGCCGCCTGCCTGCCGCCCGCTCGCTTCCTCGACATGACGTCCGCAAAGCTCAACACCCTCGGCGTACTCTGACCCCTCTGGCACTCTGGCCGCGGGCGCCCGCCGCGCTGTTGAATATGTCGCCGGCAGCCCGGCCCGGGCGGGACCGGGGCCGCGTCAAGGTGACGACGATGACAACCTCGCGGGCGCCGAGCGCGACAACACTCACGAGGGCGAGGCGGGAGGCGGGGCGGCCGTCGTCGTCAAAGGAGAGCGGCACAGGCGGCTAAAAGCATTGGGTCGAAAGCCGCGACCCAAACGCATCCCGCCCCGCCGCGCCTCGCCGACCAAAAAGTGGGTCGCGCCATCACGGTGCGGGGCCCGGCGCGCACCAAGGCTGCGGCGTGGCGTGGAGGCGCGTGGCAGTGGCAGGCACTGCAGCGACAAACCGGGGACAAACCGCACTCCAGACGAGTCGAGCGGCAGTTCGTCAAGCCGAGTCCCGGATCGCGAAAACACGACGCCCCGCCGGGGCAGGCTGCCAGCCAGCCAGCCAGCCAGCCAGCCAGCCAGGCAACAGACGCAAAGTCAATAATTCCACAAGATCGATGGCCTCGGACTCGGAACCGGGCTGCAGCGCCACGCCACGCCACGCTCGCTCCGCGGAGCGCCGCAAAAGTAGAGCCCCCCGCGGAGCGTGGCGGAGCCGGCAGCCTGGCGGCCCGGCGCACGCCCACCTGCCGGACGGACAGGCGGACGGACAATGCTGTCCGGGACAGGACAGGTCCGTCACGTGCACTGACAACACGGTCGTCACTGCGACTGCCGTGCCGCGCCGTGCTCAGCCGTTCTTTCGTGACAAACTTTCCAACAGTGAACAGAGTTCCCCGTCCGCCGCCGCCCCGCGCCGCCGGCTCTCGCGCCATCGAAGTTCCTCGCGGCCCCGCCGCGCCCCGCCCCGCCCCGCCCCGCCCTTGGCCAGCAACACCGGCGGGGCCCTGGCGGGGCGCGGCGGGGCCATGGAGAGGCAAACTTGAGGATCGCAACTGATGCGGCCCCGCAGCCCCGCTCCGGACTAGCGCGCCTTATACAGTACACTGTCACAGCTCCTCGCCCCCCGGAAAAACGACGAAACGAAAAAACTGAAACGGGGAGGGGTTTGTTCGCTGACGTGGCCCCGGCGTGGCGGGGCACGGCGTCATCCAGTCACATCGGGGCCGCCACGCCACGCCGCTACACGCCGCGCCCTCGCAGCGGGACGCAAGGCCCGGCTAGGGGCACTGGGAGGGCTGAGGTCAGCAGCAAGGGACTTTCAGCCAGCCAGCGCAGCAGGCAAAAAATCTAGTACTCGTCCTCCTTCCTCTTGATTGAAAAGGGGACCTCGCGGGGGAAAAAAACTTCAAGACTGCGATTCGTCTCGGGGCGGCAGGGCGGCAGGGCTGCACAGCTGTCCTACCCGGCCGCGCGACAAACGGCGAGACAAAGGAGTGCGTACTCGCAGGTGTGCGCGACACGCCGCCCCCTTACACCAGCGGTTCTCAACCTTTCTCGTCTCGCGACCCCAAATTTGAAGCCAAAAATTTCCGCGACCCCCAGGAAAAATTTCGTGACTCCACGGGACCCCTCCTTTAACATGCCACGGCGTCTGATCCGAGGCGGGCATTTTGCTCCCTCAACGGGAAACTGGTCTTTGGACCTTCCTTTAGCATGCCTTTGTTACGGAGTGCAATTATCAGTCTTAGTTTGGGAGCAGTATTGTCTCAAAGTTGGCCAAAACGCTCAGAAATGTCTATGAAAAATCGTGTTTTGGGCTGATTTTAAGCAGCCACAGCGTCTGATCCGAGGCGGGCATTTTGCTCCCTCAACGGGCAGTTGGTCTTTGGACCTTCCTTTAGCATGCCTCTGTTACGGAGTGCGATTATCAGTCTTAGTTTGGGAGCAGTATTGTCTCAAAGTTGGCCGAAACGGTCAGCAGTGTCTTTGAAAAATCGTGTTTTGGGCCGATTTTAAGCAGCCACTGCGTCTGATCCGAGGCGGGCATTTTGCTCCCTCAACGGGCAGTTGGTCTTTGGACCTTCCTTTAGCATGCCTTTGTTACGGAGTGCAATTATCAGTCTTAGTTTGGGAGCAGTATTGTCTCAAAGTTGGCCAAAACGCTCAGAAATGTCTTTGAAAAATCATGTTTTGGGTCGATTTTAAGCAGCCACTGCGTCTGATCCGAGCCGGGCATTTTGCTCCCTCAACGGGCAATTGTTCTTTGGACCTTCCTTCAGCATGCCTCTGTTACGGAATGCGATTATCAGTCTTAGTTTGGGAGCAGTATTGTCTCAAAGTTGGCCAAAACGCAGTCACAACGGTCTTTCAAAGACATTTCTGAGCGTTTCGGCCAACTTTGAGACAATACTGCTCCCAAACTAAGACCGATAATCACACTCCGTAACAAAGGCATGCTAAAGGAAGGTCCAAAGACCAATTGCCCGTTGAAGGAGGACGAAATACCGCCTCGGGTCAGACGCAGTGGCTGCTTAAAATCGGCCCAAAACACGATTTTTCAAAGACATTTCTGACCGTTTTGGTAAACTTTGAGACAATACTGCTCCCAAACTAAGACTGATAATCACACTTCGTAACAAAGGCATGCTAAAGGAAGGTTCAAAGACCAATTGCCCGTTGAGGGAGCAAAATGCCCGCCTCGGATCAGACGCAGTGGCTGCTTAAAATCGGCCCAAAACACGACCCCCCCCAGCTACCTCGCCGCGACCCCTTAAAATTTTTTCGCGACCCTAAGGTTGAGAACCACTGCCTTACACCTTTCCACCGCCGCCCACGCAAATACGCCCTCCACTCCACGCATGCATGGCCGGTACGGGAGGTTCCGGTTCTGGGGTTTCCCGCACACACTGTCAGGGTGGCGGTGCAGACGCCCTCTGACACGCACGCGCCGCTCCCTCCGCCCGCTCCACCTGCCCGCGCGCCGCGTTTTGCTTTTTGCAGCTGCCTGGAGCGTGATCGACGCAGCTGCAGCGGAGAAGAAAAAGAGAGGGGGGGTGCACGTGCCTCGATAAAACAGCGCCCCGCTGCAGCAAAGCCTGAGCGCAGCAAAGCCCCGGCACCTCGTAAAGAAAGTCGCGCGTACACTGACAACAGTTCCGCGATTCGACTCTACAATGTCGGAAATCGGAGGCCGGGGGCCCCGCTACGCCGACGACAGCCTGTCCCGACAGTGTCCCTCCCGACAGGGACAGGGTGTACTCAACTCGACGGATAGGGCGGCGACCGCATCGCGGCGCAGCGCGGCGGCGGGAAGCCCGCCCGATCGGCTTTCTCTACGCCGCTTGCTTTGCGCTTTACGTAACCCGCCGTGCCGTGCCGTGCCGTGCCGCGCCGCGCCGTGCCGTGCGAGCACTGCTGTGCCCCGTGCCCCGCCCGCGCGGCAGGACGTACGCGACAGACGGACGGTCGGACGGACAGACAGGCAGGTAATAATGACAACCCGGCCGTCTCGGAGGCCGGGCGCCGCGGGCCGCGGGCCGCGGGGAAGCGCCGCGAAGCACCGCGCCTCCAAAACACCGAACACAATACACTGTACACCGCGGCCCGTTGTTCGTTCCGGGCTTCCAGGATCCAGCCAGTCATCCAGCGGCGAGCGAGTCAAGCGAGGCCAGCGACGACGCCATCGCCGAGCAGTCACTCGACTCTTTGCACTTAATCTTGGGCGACGGGTCGGGGTGGGGGAAGGGGTTAGCGGAGAGGGGCGAGGGAAAGGGGTGCGCCTGCAGTCCCTCTCGCACCCTTATTACGGAACGCTCCCAAGGTCCCGTGGGTGCGAGACAGAGACAGAGAGAGAGAGAAAGAGAGAGGGAGAAAGAGACAGAGGGAGGGGGGGGGTTGCGACGAGACCACTCTTCGGAATCAGCCTGCAGGATGGCCCTCTCTGTCCCGACTCATTAGCGCGTGGCGGGGCGGGCCCGGCGATGTAAGGACATGTGGCGAGGCGGGGCGGGGCAGGGCAGGGCCGAAGTGGCGTGGGCGAAGGGACACACACACACACACACACACGCACACAGCAGCAGGGCCGAGCGAGCGCCCATTATTGATCTAACCGTTCATCCCCACACCACGCCGTGCCCCTCCCCTCTCCCCCTCCCCGGCAGGTCTACAGCCACACACCACACCAGCAACAGTACAGACAGATATAGACAAAAGCGTACTGAAAAACGAAAAACACCAGAAGAGGAAAAAAAGGCGAGCGCGCGAGAGAGCAGCAAAATAACAAGAAGGCATAAACCAAACTTGTTTCCTCCTCCTGTGGGTGTGGTTACGCTTCATCTGCTGTTCGGGGAATGTTGCGGGGAGGAGAGAGAGGGGGGGGGGGGTAAAAAACCGAAACACAGTCGAAAACGTCGCTAAGTGA